ACTATTTCCAGCTTCGGTGATTGGTCGAACAGCTTCCGGGCATGATAGAAGATGGTACATGGCGGGGCGATCGGAGGACAGGTGGTTGAACGAAGACGAATGAGAAGCGGCGGGGAGCCCTGCTGGATCGCCGGAGGTGATGGAGACACAGATTTTCAGCAGGGGTGTGGCATGGGTGCCGGGGTGGTGGAGTGGCGGCGACGACAAGAGAGGAAGAAGGAAGGAGAGAGTATCGAGAGGATGGAGTCGCGAGATCCGGGAAGGGTTTTGGGTGGGCCTGGGGTGTCAGATTCGTACGTTTCGCGTGTCCGGACTCCCGTAAACCTCCCTCACTTTTGTCTTCGTTTTGCATGAGAAATCGCGTCCGAATCGCCTCGCAGACCGATACAAGACCGCGTAGATGGCTTTCTCGGTTCGAACATTGCAGTCCGGACGATCGTGGAAGGTTTACACATCCATCTTGGACATGCCTTTACACCCCAGACCAATACAATGCGTACGCTTGACGGAAGAAGTATATTACTTAAAGTCACCATGGAGTACATGCCCCCCCTCCCGCGCCGCCTCCCTGGCGACTCGGGGGGAACCCTAGTAGCGCCGCCACCAGCACCCCAGATCCGCCTCCCTCGCGTCGCCGCCGCCAGAGGGGACGCCGACGAACTCCGGATGTGTCCAAGGAGGGTGGCAGCGAGGCGTTCCTGCCTCCTGTAGCGTCTTCAGGTGGGGCTTGGCCTCCCGTCGGCGTGTGGCGGATCCGCGGCGGAGCTCCTCTGCGCGTGGCGGTGCCACCCCTCTCCGGTCGGCTCTCCACTCCCTGGCCGCGTCCTCTCCCTGGCTACAAGCGCGAGCTCGGCGGATCTGGCCATGGGGGCCGCGGCGAAAGGATTTTGCATGCTTGATGCGCTGGCCGTGTGTGGCCGTGTGTGGGACGCCCTCTTCTTCGTCCCGAGCGCACGGGCCGGCCGTGGCCATGCGCGGCGTGTCTCTCGCTGATGAGTGCTCCGTCGGTGGTGCTGGGGGTGGCTCCTTTTCTAGATCCACGCGGGACTGCAGCCATTCCGCTCGGTGGTGGCGTGGATTTTCTGGTCTTCGACGTGGCGGCCTGCACACGATGGATCTCGCCTTTGCTGTTACAATCCCCCGGATGGCTTTGGAACCTACGTTTTCCAGGGTCCAGCTTGCCGGCGTTCTCCCGTAGCGGCTTTGGCCTGGTGCTCTTGAAGCTGCGCTCTTTCCGGCTTCATGGGTTCACCGGTGTTTTGGTGGCTCCGGCTTCGTCGATCTAGGTCTGCGTTCTCCAGATCCTGGCTCATCGACTTGCCGGATTCCGTCGCATCCCGTGTGTCGGTTCCTCTACGTCTTGTCGTCGCCTCTCCAACCTCTACCGCCACCCCTGCCTTGCCCCTCCCCCGCCAGGTCCAATGCTCGTGCTTCCGGTGGCATAGCTCCCCATCCGGCGATGGCGGTCCTAGCTTACGACATGTCCCCATCCTTGAATCTTGTTCCGTCGGCTTTGGGATTGTCTGGACATTGGCCGGGGCGAAATCCCTGCTTGATGCTGGCAGCGGCGACACCTGCGGGTGCCGTACCCTTCTTGAAGGCGTTGCCACGGCCTATTCTCCGAGCCCCTCTTCGAGCGCAGGGGGAAACCCCAGATTCAGTTCCTCGGATCGGACGACGGCGGCGCCACAGCGGCGTTCCCCTTCATGAAGGCGTCGTCTTGCTTGCTCGTGCCGTGTCTGCTACTCGATTCTGAGTGTTGGGGCATCGTCTTGGTTAGAGTTGTTTCTCTTGGGTTGGGTAGTTTTGCTGTGTTGTAGCTTCTGTCTAGGCTGAGCATCCCATGTCACTCTGCTTCGGCACCATATTTACGCCACCTTTGGTTGTGCCATGTGATGGCCCCCAATTGTATTCTCATTTCAACCTCTTCTATCAATGAAAGATACACAAGTTTTGCGTATTCGCGAACAAAAATAATTAAAGTCGCCATCAAAATATGGTCAAATACGAGACTGATAATCCTGGACGGAGATACTACGTACACCCAAACCAAGCTCAGCCGCCGAGTCCAATCGCCGAACTGCGGTGTTCACCTTTTTGCACGACACAATCGACGCAGAAGCTTTATCGGGATCGATGCCCGAGCCCGACATCGGTTGCAGCCGCGCAGCCTGCACCGGTCCCTCTCCGGCTGTATCGCCATGACTGAGGCCGGACCTCGGCCCTCGATCAGGTCCAGCGATGCCACGGACAAGTCGCAAGGGGACACCGGCCGGGAGGGAAGCGTGCGTGTGTGCGTCCAGGCTAGTCCAGACTGTGGTCTCGTGCTCGTGGGGTAAAAAGTAAAGAAAGATGTGATGGAGGAGGGTTGGATTGGGTAGCGTGCGGGCGACAGCATGAGCGCCCCACTATCAGCAAAAGCGAGCTCACAAAAATGATGGCCTCAGTAGATTATCATTGTTCCAGCCATGAGCCCCAGCAACGGACCGGAAGCCAGCCTGTGCGCGAGCTCACTTGAAGCGTTGCTGAGAGGAGGAGATGGATGTTCTCGTTTCACGCACTGCCGGATGACGAGATGAGACTGTAAATTAAGCAAATATGACATACTCGTTAGAGCATGGTTAATAATACAGTCAACTACTGATGGTTGGTTATAAGGAGTAGGGCATCTTGGAGACCGAGCTCCATGAAACCCTTTATTTTGAATAATTCAAAATTCATAAATTTCAGTTTCAAAAATTTCTAGAAAAAATACACATGTTTGCAAGGATGTAAAGTGTATGTGTGAGAAATTTCAGGATGAAATACCTTGAATTGTGAGCTGTATAAAAAAACCAAAATCATAGACTTTATAGATGAACAGTACATATGCTAAAAGGCCCCGTATTTGTCTTTTTTGTGTAGCTCACATTTTAATGTATTTCGGCCTGAAAATTTGCACACATGTACATTTTGTATCTAGGTATATGTGTATTTATTTTCAGAATTTTTTGAAACTAAAAAGTTTGAATTTTAAAGTTTTCAAATAAAGATCTCCATGGGGCTCAGTCTCCGCTTGGCATTTTCGGGCTATAAGATGCTACCATATAATCAATAGACATCACTTATGGTCACTCGTACAATAAGGTTGGCTATAAATATGCTTATAAAATTAATATTTTCTATCATTTTCTTTCTATCATTTCTTCACATTTATTGCATCTGCCTAGGAGCACATATATAGATAGCCTCTTGCATG